GTGATCAGCACCCCAGAGCCCTGCCCCAGGGAGCAAGCACCTGACTTCCAGCGAGCTGCAGCGGCACTTGCTGGGTGCCCAGCCTCTCACCACTTCCTGTCCCGGCCCCTCTGGGACTTGGGGCTTTTGTGATACTGAAGGAATGAACCCTTCCCGAGTCCAGCTTCAATGGCTGCCGCTAACAGGAACCACGTGTGGCCTCCCTGCCAGCCGCTGTGGTGTTTGCCTTGGACGGCATGGCTGCTTTCCCTCTACCGCAGGCTGGGGCCTGGAAACTGCTGATGGCGTGTTTGCTGGGCCTCTGGAGGCTTGTGATGTGGCAGCTTGCTGTACCTCCCTGTCCCCTCCTGCCCCCAAAGCTGATTCATCTGCTTCCTGGTTCCTCACCCTGAGCACTACTTGGTTATTTGGGACAGGAGCAGGCACGGTGGGTTTTCTTATTACTGGGCATAATATTTATTAGACTTTTGCTGGGGTTGCCTCTGGCCTTCAGCTATGACACTTTGGGGCTGAGTGTCCACGTAGAGTCCCTGAAGGCCTTTGGATACTGAGTGTGACAACTGTCTGTAAAAACCACGGACCTAGACACTTTAAGTCCAGAAATACAATAGCTTTCAGACTTTTAACCTGCCAACTTTGACACTCAGTACTAGACCTTGCATTTGCAATCTCAAAGACTGCAGTTGACATTCATAAAAATAAAGAAAGCAAAACAAAACCAGACTAGACTGTTGTAGCCCAGTCCTGTGCTATCCAGTATGATACCCACTAGTCAGGTGGGCTACTTAAATCTAAATTAAATAAAATTTTAATATTCAGTTCCTCAGTTGCAGATGCTAGCTGCTTTTCAAATCCTCAGGAACCACTTGAACAGTATGGACAGAACATCTCCACCTGTATGAGCCTCACCTTACATGATAGAATAAACTGAGGTACCATCTCAGGTGGAGGAAAGGGTTATTTTGGCTCATGGTGCCAGAGGGCTCAGTCCATGGTCTCTCAGCCCAATAACTTTGGGCCTGTGGGAGCGTGTGCGGAAGAGGCCTGTCCACTTCACAGGGGCCAGGAGGCAGAGAGACAGGCAGGGACTTAAATCCCTTCACGGCCCAGCCCCAGTAAGCTAACTTCTTCCTACAAGGTTCCACCTCTTAAATTGTCCACCACTTTTTAATAGTGCCGTAGACTGGCAACCAAACAGTATAAAACAGCTTCACAGGCAATATTATTCGACATTTAAAAGCCAGAAAGTTCTAATGCCAGCTACAATATAAATGAATCTTGAAGACATTATGTTATTTAAACTAACCAAATTCATGGAGACAAAAAGTGGAATGGAGGTGGCAGAGAAGCCAACATGAGGTAGTGTTATTTAGTAGGGACAGAGATCCTGTCTTAGATGATGGAGAAGCACTTGAGGCAGATGGTGGTGCTGTTTGCACAGCAATGTGGATGTGCTTAATGCCACTCACCTGTACCCTTAAGTGTGGTTGGAATAATACATTTTGTCTTGTAATGCTTAACACAGTTTTTTACAGCCTCTTAGACTATTAAAAGAGATCCCCAAGTTAACTTTCAAATTAACAAATGCGGATAGAATGTAAGGAGGGAGATTCCTTTTGAAACGTGTTCCCAAAGAGTTTGCACACAGCATTCATTGACATAGCCCCCTGCAAAGCATAGTGCCCTGTTCACAGTCAGCCCTGCTGGCCCCATGCACAGGTGTCTGGCATCTGGGAAGTACCAGGATTTCCCCCAGGGCTCCTGCTCCCTAGGGGTGATATCTATAGTTGAACTGCAGCATGTAAACTGAGATATATTACCTCGAGTAAATAAATAGCACTGACAAACCTTCCAGCTCTCTGGGCTGTATTTACTTGGGTGCCAGCAAGTCAGAGCAAAGGATGGGAGGGTGACTGCCAAAGCCAAGCAGTAAAGACGGGAACTGCTGGGTGTGGACTTGTTGGCCAATGTGAGCATCCAGATAGGGACCCAGGAGAGTGGAGTAGTCTTATTCATGTGGATGGATGCTTTTGTGCAGTGTGAGCACGCGAGTGTGTGTGTGTGTATGTGTGTGTGTGTGTGTGTGATACTTGGAAGAACCCAAGGTCTTCACACTGAGCCACCTCCTCAGCCTGTTTTGTTTTTATTTTGAGACAGGGCCTTGCTAAGTCACTAGGTTGGCCAGTCTGGGCTTGAACTTGGCAGTCCTCCTGCCTCAGCCCTCCAGAGTGTGAGGGTTGTGTGCGTAAACCACTATGCCCAGCACTGGTACTTTCTTTTTAAAAAAAAAATCTTTCAGTGGTATTTCAACAGTGTCCTAAAAACAAAATTGGAAAGGGAAAAGGGAGATGGTGTGAGACAAAACCTATAAATCTCTAAAACACTCTGCAGCTGAGCCTGATTAATTGCTTTTGAAAAGAAAGCTTACTGTTTACATGTGCACATAATATTAAACTTACCTCATCTCAGGCTGATTTTTCATGTTCACATGACACTCTGAAGCCATCTAAAGAGTGATCATAGACAAAAAGTATTGGATTTACACAAAGATGCTTGGCTGCCAGCACCACTTCTTGCTATGTGACTGTGAGGCAAGTTCTCTGCTCCCATTACTCATCTGTAACTTGGGGATTATAGCATTTCTTTCACAGGCTTGCTGTCGTACTATACAATGTCAGTAGTGATTACTAATTATTATTTTATACTAGCAATGTGAGTATTATTCATCAAGTTGCCTAGCAACATCTCCTCAAGCTGCTTCCAAAAAGTTCTCTCCATTGCAGTCATTGGTTTCAGCCAATTTTTTTTAATTAATAAACTTTTTTTGTAGAGTAGTTTTAGGTTCATGGCAAATGAAAACTACTAAGTCTTCCCACATTCCCCTTCCCCCATATACGCACAGCCTCCCCTACTATGAACATCTAGTTCTGCCAGTTTTTATTGCGTGCCAACAATCCACTGGTTTTGAAGAGCTCTTAGTTTCTAAAAAGGATGCCTCCTTTTTCAAGAGAAAACCTCGAGTGGCCTTACCAATCTGTGAAAGGCAGTAGATGGAGTATTTCCCTTCTCCCACACAGAACAGAGCAAGGATCAGTGACTGAAAACCACAAATAAAACTATGGATAGTGAGCTGGTGTGTAACTCAGTGGTAGAGGGCTTGCCTAGCATGTGCAGAGGCTGAGTTCATTTCTTAGCTCTGCAGAACGAAACAAAACAAAAAAGCCATAGATCATATGTTGAGCCCAGCCTTTGGGGCCATCCTGGGAGCCCAGCAACTCTTCAGGGTGCCAGCCAACCAGGGGCACTGGACAAAATGGCATAGAAGAGGCAGGGAGTGCCAGCCTAGAAAAGTGATCATCTTCTTCGTTGTCTTCCTGGCAATGAGGGCCAGGGCAGGGTGGATGAGGTGATGACAAAGTAACACATGCACTTCCCTCTCTGCTCCGCCACAGTGCTGGCTCCAGGCTGCTAAGCAGATTGCTTCACTTCCCTGGCCTGAGTTTTCCTGGATACCATTGTCCATGCTCCAGGATTTCTCAAGGGGAGGTTTCTAAAGAATCTAGTGCAGGCCTATCAGTTAGGAGGGTATTTCTGTCCTCTTCCATATAGGAAGGTGCCCCCCCTTCCAATGCCTAGCCAGTGCTCATTGTTGGAGCTCATACTCAAATGCCTACCCAGTAACTCTTCTCATTTCTCCTGGACATTCCTCAGCTTCTTCCATTCTAACACAGGGGACAGATCTAGAGCCAAGATATCTCTGTACAGTCATGGTGGGCTTTTCACATGCCAGCCATTACTTCAGGAGGGTCAGGACTCCCTCTCCATCCCCTTTGGCTCCTTGACCATGTACTAATCAGGGTGGGTCACAGCATGCTGCTGTAACAAAGAGCCCCACTGGACAACAAAGACATCTTCTGTCTCTGACTGCATAGCCTCCAAACATTTCTAAGTGCTGTAACCCCCACCCATTGCAGGGCCCCCAATGACAGAGAATCCACTGTCTAGAGTGTGACCAGCTCCATCCATGCCAGAGAGAAATAGAGAATGTAAACCACGTATCAGTCATAAATCTCCATCCCGATGTAGCACGTCTTCTAATCATATAGAATTGGCCCACTTCTAGAAGATAGCAGAAGTATAAATCTACTCTTTGCTAAGAAGCATGAGGAATATTTGATAATAACTTAATGATTATCACAGCCTAGCTTTAATCCATAGAGTAATGCTGTAAGTTGCTATCATAATGGAAGACTTAAAGATGAGGCCCTGAAAGATTGTATCACTCCCCAGAAGCACACAGGGAATAAGCAGCAAGTCCTTGTCATTGTGAATACCTAATGAGACACTTCACATTAATTCTTTCGAATGTCAGAGATGCAGTTATGGTGCCATTAAATAAACCATGCCCCCATTCCTTCTGTACCCATTGCTCTGCCCCCAGCAGCCTCCCCTTCACTATCTTGGGGTGCCTCCTACACCACCTTGTAATTATCAGTATATTTGCAGGCTCTTGGTGAGACTATGAATCCTTTCATCACTGTGCTCCCTGCATCCAGGGCACAGTCAGGTGCAAGGTTTTCTGCTGAGCCACTTGGGGACTTCTTAGTGAATGGGGGTAGAATGATGTCCTAGGCATAACTCAATCAGAAAAAGGGAGTCTTTGGTTATCCTATAACACTGCTTGACAGTTCTTAGAAAGGAGGATGATCTACTGCCCGTGAAATTCTGATGGCTCCGAAGGCGTTCTTGATACTTCAGGTTCCATGGCAGGAAAACCACAAATGACCTTGGACAACTCTTAGCTTTCACAGTGGGGCAGCTGTTGTCTTCATGGAGCTCCATATCCACCTGAAACTGCCTTCTCCATTGCTTCTACTTTTTGAAAAGCTGAACAAAGGGAACTTTTATATAGATCAAATCACGTATTTCCCATCATTTCTTGAAAATAGCGATGCAGTTGTTACATTATGAAAAGTTATTGCGTTTCTCTTCCCATTTAGATGCAAATGCTGGACAAATTTCCCATGGAAGGAGGCCAGAAGGACCCTAAACAGCGGATCATTCCCTTCCTGCCAGGTGAGTGACATGCGTGCTCTCAAAGATGCTAGGAACCATACAGCAGCGCCCAGATCTCTCAGGACGGTTTAGGAGCTCACCTCCTTCATCAGGGAACATTCCTGTGATAGGACACTGAGGCTCACGAAACCATAAGCATTTGCACAAATGACAGAACTAGGTTCAAACACAGATATGACTCCAAAACTCATGACTCTAGTCAAAAGACCTGGGTTCTAAGCCCAATGCTCCCATTCATCAGCTCTTTAAATAACAAGTACATTGGGTTTTACATCTTCATTTGTAAACTGTAGATAATAATAGTTCTTAAATGATAAAAGTTGTTGCGTTATGTAAATGCCTAGCAGATGGCTAAGGGTCACCAAATGCTCACTATACTGTTTTTATATAAAAATATCCAGCAAATTGGCAGTCACCTTAAGCTCCAGATATTTCCAGCTGGCGGGTCCCTTTAGACCTTTTTTCCATTTTCAGGCGTAGGAACAGTGGGGAGAAGAGGGGTCATGTGAGTCCCCAACTCCAGGATATCAGTAGGTATCAGCATGTTGAATAGACTCAGAGACAGGGTAGGTGTATCTACCAAGCCCCATCCTCTAAGAGAATCCTTGACCTAAAACAAGTAGGTAGCCACGCTGTGGGGAGCAAACAACCATGCTGGAAAATTTTGCCTGCTGGAGCAAATCCTATGTGCCAGCTACAACAGCCAAATATCAGGACTACAAAACACAATCTCTGGAATCCATCAGGCCAACCCTGTGACTTCAAGCAGGCAACAACCTCATCGGGGCCTCAGTTTCTATCTTAGTAGGCCAGTGACCCTTGCTTCACACAGAAGCTCATAGAAGTGTGTCGCTGGCACATAGAAGTTCTCAACAAAGTTAACAGCAGAGTCCTGGAACCCTGCTTTGGGATTCCTGGGTTTCATGTGTTGGAGCCATCATTTAATGATTGAGAATTTAAGTGATATTCAAGTTAAACTGGGCTCTCAATGCAGATTTTTCTTCACGAAAGGAAAGAAAAGCAGTAAGTTAGAGGGTTTTTTTCTGGATGAAAGGCAAAACCATCTCTGGAAAAACTTCTCAGGACAGGGAACTCGAGCCCGACCCTCTCCCAAACTCTTAAAAGCTTTCATGGTTACGTAATCCTTTTCCACTCAAGAATTAATGAAAACACTGTTCCCTAAGACTTGGCCCCTTTGTCCCCGCTCAGTGGTCCTACTTGGAGCTGGAAGAGGTCCTCTCAGGCCCCAGGACTCCTGGCACATCCCTTCTGAGCCCACCTTCCAGCCCTTCTAGAGGCCCAGGTTTGGGAGGAGGGTCTCACTCCTAGGGTTTTCTGCCCAGACTGCAGCATCAGCAAAACAAAGGCACGGCTCATGTTAGCACAGAGGTGGGGGAGGGGGCCAGCCTGTGCAATTTTCCATCCCAGCAGGAGCTGGGGGAGCCAACTTGGCAAAGGATGCAGCTTGAAAAATAAGAATTACAGTTTGGCCTCCCTCCACCATGGAAAACAAAAGCCGACCCATTCCCACCAAAGCTCTGCTCTCCTCCGAGCACTCTTTCCATCCCGGAAAGGGAAAGGCAGCAGATGCGCCCTCCTTCCCCACAGAACCACTTCCCAGCATTTGCTGACCCAGCCCCTGGTCCCCTTGGCTAAGGAGGTGCCAGCTCTGACCCACGCTTATCTCCCGCCCTGCTGTGGGAAATGGCCCTTAGCCCACCAGGGGCTGGGTTCCAGAAGGCTGGAGTCAAAGAAGGAATTGATGTGTTCTTAATTAGAGTGTCATCAAAACTGCTTTGGGGGAAAAAAGTAATTATCCTTTTCTGGGTGCCAGCTAAGGTCCGGCTCCCTGTGCTGATTACTTCTAAGACCGAGAGGCAACTCTCCTGTCTTATATTCTCCCATGTGAATGCATTCCCCAAGGCCTGTCCCGCAGGCTGCCTGCTTCTGCTCCCTTTGCTGGCCAGGTACCAGTCCTGCCCCCCAAAACCCTGTCCCACCAAGGCACCTAGGAAGAGGAATGACACATTGTGCTGTGTCACATCGCTAGAAACACTGTCCTTCTCCCTGGGCTCTTTCAGATCAGTCTCAGCATCGGGCTCTTTAGCTGTGTGATAGCTTTGGGACAAGCTTGCCTTTTGCTGTGGACTGGTGCTAACCCCATGCTGGTCATATATATTTTGAGCCTACTCACAGCTCTTGCAGTAAGAAGCTGTAGGCCCACTCCCTCCCTTCCAAGTCCGCTGGAAGGAAACATTGTTTCAAAAGGGGACCAAGCTATTTTGGTTAGGGAGTCTGTTGACACTTGAAGAAATAAATGAGAGGACAGGGAAACATTGGTGGTACAGGATTTCTCTTTGGGCACACATCTCTTATCTTTCCAAAGGCACAGGACACTCCTAGTGGTCCCGAGTAGTCCCACCCATGAAGGCCAATATATAGATGGGAATTTGGCTGTCAGTCCCTGAGGTGGGAAAGCTACCAGTTTTGTCTGAATTTGGACCAATGATGCTAAACATCTGGTGGGAGTGGAGGGGCAGTCCCACCCACGGAAGGATTGCCCCACCCAGAATGTCAGCGGGGTCCTTCCCTGGTGGGGAACACCAGTTGTCAGCCATCCTGCCTCCTGCCCGCCCCCAGCATGGGCACAGAAAGGGGTCCCATGGAGGCCGTGCCTGCTGAATGAGTATGTGAAGGACGGAAGGCATCACATTGCTTCTGGGGAAACCAGGTTGTAAACACCTTTCCCCTTCACTGAATAATTTGTGTGGGGTTTTTATTGTTGTTGTTGTTGATAGTTTGCTTTTGTTTTTCATTCTATATAACATGAAATTTTTTTTTTATTCTAAAAACAGTAAATGTTTATGGTAGAAACTTTAAGGGGAAGTAAACCAAATTGTCTTCCATTTTTCCTTTGAGCCTTTTAATGCATATCCTGTAGATTTGCCTTTCTAATAAGTATAGATATATCAGAAAGGCATAACATCATGAAAGAACGGGGAAGTATGGGAGAACGTGAGGTATGAGCAGAGGGAACATGGGGAAACCAAATCTAAATTGCCAGGTTAGGGGAGACCTGAGTGTGTACTTGTGCTCACCCACTCTGCGGAACCCCAGGGTTGCAGAGCTTCAAACACCAAGTCCTCGTAAGGCAGGAGCCTCTTATGCCATCAAAACCTCTTCCCTAAAGTCAAATATGGCCACATACTGCAGGCACTCACTCATGTATGTGTGGAGCTAACAAATGACCTCAAAAGTAGAGAGAATAGTGGTTCTGGAAAGCTGGAAAGTGGGTAAGGAGCAGGTGGCTGGGGCCGTGGGTGTATTGGACAGGAGGAGCAGCTTTGGATGCTATACAGCACAGGACAGTAACTGTGGGAAAGGGAAATTATTTTACATTTCTCAAAAACTAGTGGAGAAGATTTTGGATGTTCCTAGCAGGATAAGTGTTGGAGGGGTTGGACATGGCAGTTAACCGTGTGATCATTGCACACTGTATATATGTACGGAAAGGCCACCCTGTACCCCATCAATAAGGGTGATTACTAGGTCTCAGAGCTTTATTCCTGGGTGGGGCTGGAGATGTGCTCAGTGGTAGAGAGCTTGCTAAGTGTGTCAGGACTCTAAGTTCAGCCTCCTGCACCAACAATGTAAAAACTTCCTGTGTCTCGGTCCCCAGGCCCTTGAACTAGAGCCACGCGTGAACAAGGCTTTAGGAACCATGCGTGGTGTTAACCAAGCCAGGTCAAAGTCCAGCACGGGGTCGGTGGCCAGGAATGCTGGTCCCATGCAGGCTCCCTCCAGGGTTGCTGCTTTCTTATAGTGCTCTGTGTCCTCTTATCTTGTGCAGGCAAAATCCTTTTCCGACGGAGCCACATTCGGGACGTGGCTGTCAAACGCCTGATACCAATTGATGAATACTGTAAGGTAAGACTTGAAATGCCAACATGTGCCTCCCTGTGGTGTTCCGTTTTGTTTTCCTTTCTGCAAGATGCTCATTGTGAATAATTTATACAGTAGAAGAAAATTAGAGAAATAAAGCACCCATGATCCCTCAGCCCAGAAGCAAACTTTTGTTTTGTTTTTTTGGTTTTTTTGGGATAGGGTTTTATGCAGTTCAGAATAGCCTTGAACTCACTTTGTAGCCCAGGCTAGGCTTGAACTTGCAGCAGTCCTCCTGCCTCAGCCTCCTGAGTGCTAGGATTTACAGGTATGCACCACCATACCAGTAAACATTGCAAACATTAAAGGTTACACATTTTTGGGCTGGGGGTTTAGCTCAGTGGCATAAGTGCCTGCTTGGCAAATGCAAGGTCTTGAGTTCAATCCCTGGCACCAAAAAAAAAAAAAAAGGTTACGCATTTTTTGGGGCAATCTTTTCTCTACATAAGGATTTCTTTATGGAGTTGAGACCATACTATACAGTGTATTTTTTTTTATCTTTTTCTCTTTTGTCTTATTATTGTGACATAAGAATTTCTCCCTATTAAGAAATCTTTTTGAGGGCTGGGGATTTAGCTCAGCAGCATAAGCACCTGCCTTGCAAGCAGGCGGTTGTGAGTTCAATCCCAGGTACCGATTTAAAAAAAAAAAAACAGACAACAAGAAATCTTTTTGAGCTTTTTAATAGCTGCCTGGTACTCCATGATATGTGAATATTCCAGAAGTTATTCAACCTGTTCCTGCTGTTGGGTAGCACAACTGATTTCCTATCCCTTGAATGTTTGAAACAAGAGGCCAGCCTTTTGGTTATATTTCAGTTGATTGGAGGTTGTGATCAAGAAAAAGTCCTATATATTTTTTTATTCTCTTGATTGTAGTATTTATTTCTCCACCTTAGATACCAAGGGAATGGCAATGGATGCCTTAAAAAGGAGCAGTGAGTGGTTTCTACCTTTGATCAGGCACAAAACGAGTTGTGTTCACCCTCGCCACCTCTGTTTCATGTTGTACTAAAGGAGCACCAGTGTGGGTACCTGGGAAAAAAGAGTGAGAGGGACCCAGAGGAAGGAAAGTGGAGCTGCCTTGGTGAACAGTGTCGTGTTTCTGTCTGTTGAAAGTCATAAGACGCACACACAGGCACGCATACTGTTAAACCAGTAAAGGAATTTAAGGAGACACAGTTGACAGAAATTAATCTTGATTCTGTAGTTGAAGACTGAATACTGCAGAAATGAAACTAAGAAAACAATTCCAGTCGCAATAGCATCAAAAAGACTAAAATACTTACAAATAATCTTGCCAGTAGAAGTGCAGGATTTGTGCGTTGACACTACAAAACACTGCTGGAAGAAATGAAAGATCTAAATTAATAGAGACATTCCATACTTATAGATTAGAAGACCTGTTACTATTTTTTGGTTTTCTGTTTGTTTGTTTGTTTGTTTTGTTTTTGTTTGTGTTCTTTGAGTCAGGGTTTCACCATGTAGTTCAGGCTGGCCTTAAACTGACTCTGTAGCCCAGGCTGGCCTCAAACTTGCGGTGATCCTCCTACCTCAGCCTCCTGAGTGCTGGGCTTACAGGCGTGCACCACCGTGCCTGGCCTTTGATGTTGTTAAAATAGCAGATCTCCCCAAATTAATGTCCATATTAAATGTGTTCCCTGTCAAATCCTAGTAGGCTTTTTTTGTAGAATTAACAAGCTGATCCTAAAGTATATGTAAAAATCCAAAGGACTGAAATAATCAAACCACATTTAAAAAAGAACAAAATCAGAGGAGTCATTATAGCCATTTCCAAAAAAACGACAAAGCAGCAGTCATCAAGACAATATGATACTGACATAAAGATCTGCATGTAGATTAGGGACACAGCACTGAGAGTCTAGAAAATAAATTCATGAAGCCATGTAATGTTTTCACTCATTAATTGCAATGGTTTTAAGCTGGGTTGTTTGATTTTAGTATCTATGATAGTACCAATAGCTATTTTGAAGAAAACAACACAACATAAAAGCTAGTGCTGATTTAATATCATTTTGTTTTGAAGTCCCATCTAGCTGTGGTACATCTGTTTCCACTGGTTTTAACATGATATATCTTACTATATTTCACTATATGCTATAGTATAAACAAAATTCTTTATAGGCAAAGAGATAATATAGAAACCATTGTTCGTTTTCTATTAGCTGGTTCTAAATACCCTGTAATTCTTGCATTCTCTTGAATGGCTTCACACTGTCTTGATATGCTTGATGTTATAGCATACGAAGTTACACTCAAATAATTCAAGGAAAGAGGCACTATGGCGACTACTATTATGTTAGATTATCTGGTGGTGAAACACAATGACGCTTGAATTGTTTGGCTGACCTGCATTGTTCTGTTACAATGTCCTCTCTTATCTCAATCTCCCTCCTTTTTTAAAAATTAATCTATTTTCTCTCATTTTTTAATTAATGGAAAACTAAATTTAAAAATAGCAGGACATATTATAGTAACTTTCTTGGTTTTCCTATTAACCTGGTTTGAACCCCAGCATTGCTCTCCCCATCTTGTTCTGTCTGATTATTCTATATTCTGTTTTGATAGTATCAAGTTTGAGGGTATAGGCAACCACTTTGAAGGCAATAAATACTATCTATGATGCTCATTATGGTTTGACTATTATCCTTTTTTTGAAGTCCTGTAAGGTCTCCAGTGTAGGTTTTATTGGTCTTGTTCTGTACTGTTTCGATCAATTCTATTATACCTAATGATATAGGGAACTCAGTTTAAAAATAGCAAGAGGCACAATGATAACCACTTTTGATCACCTGGTATTCTATTTTTGCATCATGTACTATGCCCACCCTTCTGTTCTAACTGACTCTGTTTTGCTTAGTCACGTTTGGTTTTATTCTCTTCAAAAAAAGTAATAAGAACCGTGGGAGTAATAAAACCCAAAAAGTCTAATTGTTATTGTAAAAAAGAGAGGAAAGGAAGGTGGACTAAGGGATATAACTGCAGGTACGTTCGAGTGTGTAGGATGGAAAACCATATTACTGAGCTTTTATTGGATCATTGAACGGAACTGTCTACAATGTCACTGTATGAATGTCCACTTTATATGCTTCAATTTTGTAATTTGGACAACTGTTTCTGGGAAGATAATATGTAACCTATTTACTGGTGATTTCTTACTATATATTTTTTTTCTTGAAATTCTGTATTACTTGTACCCTTTTACTGCTTTGTTTTTTCATGTCCTTTTTTTCTCTTTAAAAAAAAAGAAAGAAAATAAATTCATACAAAATATATGTTCAATGGGTACTTAACAATAGTGAAAAACAGTTCAGCGAGAAAAGGATAATCTTTTTCTTAAACAGTTGGGATACTCAGCTGTTAGTCATTGCATTAGTCTCCTAGGCCTGCATTAAAAAATGATCACAAGGTGAGTGGTTTAAACAATAGGAATTTACCTTCTCATGGTTCTACAAACTGTAGGTCTGAATAATGGGGCCTTAAGGACTTTGCCGGGACTCATCGATAGCTGACTTCTCCCTGGGTCGTCACATACGGTCTCTGCTCTGTGTCTATATCATCACTTCTTCAAAGGACAATAGTTTTACTGGAGTAAGGTCCATCCCTAATGGCACTGGTTAATCTTACATTATCTCTTTAAAGGCCCTGTTTCTAATGACAGTTGCTTTCTGAGACTCTGGGCTTTAGAACTCATCCTGAATTTAGGAATGGGGGGAGGACACAGTTAAATCCTGTAACAGCTATACATATGCCAAAATTAAATATGTCTTCTCTTGTATAAATATTTCACATTTTTATCCATTCACCACACAATAGAATATAGTTAGCAGTATAAAGCAGTGAAATCCTGATAAATGCTCTAACCTATATCAGTCACAAAAGCATGATGCTAAGTGACAGAAACTAGATGCAAAAGACTATGTATGGTATGATGCCATCTGTGTAAAATGTGCAGGAAAGGCAGATTCGTAGCAGCAGAAAGCAGATCAGTGGTTTCCTGGGCCTGGGGGCAGAGGAAGTGGAGATGGACTGCAAATTAGGTGGGGAGAACTTTGAGGTGATGGAAAATTCTGAAACTAAACTGTGGTAATGATTGCACAACTCTGTAATTTACTTAATATCATGGAATCATGCATTTATAATGGATAAATTTTATGGTATGTAAATTACACTGCAATAAATCTACAAAATAAAATTTTAAGCTAAAGGGGGCAGTGTGGGGACAGATGACCCTTGTGTTGGCTGGAGAGATCAAGGAAAGGAGAAAACCACTTCGATTTGAGTGTCTGCTCTTTTCAGACATGACCTCATTTCATCCCTCTGGCAACTTTTCAAATTAGATTTTAATATTCCCATTGTGTAGATGAGGAAATGAAGGCACGACAGAGTTACTTCCAGTAACAGCCTTAGAGAGTTTGAGAGTAGAACCCAAGCACTCACAGTCACGGCTTTTCTAAGAAAGTGACCATTCAGGAGGTCAGAGTGTTCAAGCATGTGTTCCAGAGGCAGTAGTGGCTCGAGTGTGCTCCCCTAAAGGTTTATGTCCTGGAAGGTTGGTCCCCAGTATGGCAGTGTTTGGGCGGTAGAACCTTTGAGAGTAGGTTCTACTGCAAAGTGGTTAGGCCACAGACCATCACCCTTGGAAGGGACTACTACTGACTTCAAAGTGAGTGAGTTCTCTTGCAAGCAGGTTGCTCTAAGGGAAGACCACGCTGCGTGCTTTGCCCCTTTTGCACATGACTGGTTCTCTTTCCGTGTCTCCATTGTGATGCACAGGGAACTCTTGCCAGGATGCCAGTGCCGGGCTGTTTGGACTCTTCAGTCACCAGAATCATGAGCCAAATAAACCTCTTCACTTTATATAGTAACCAGCTTTATAGAAATAGAAAACAGACCAATGCAAGCAGATAAACTCAGATCTCTCTCCTAAGTATGTTCTTAAAAAGGGATGAAAGTGAGGGACAG